CATTTATATGCCTGGCCCCAAAAGAAGCTCAGCTCTCACACCTTGCAGATACCCCTTATCTGAATAACAACTCTACTTAGGAACTGATCTTGCATAGGTTCCTGGCCTTATCTTGGTACAGGTTCACTCCCTCATAGGAACAACTACCCTAAGTGATTCAGGAAGCGCCGACCAGCTCTGCAATTCTATAGACCTAGACCCCTTGTTTATTTGCGCGGTGCGTGTTTGCGTGCGTGCCTGCGTGCCTGCGTGCCTGTGTGCGTGTGCGTGTGCGTGTGTGCATGTGTGTAGGTCAGGACAACTTGCAGGAGTCAGTTTTCTCCTTCCATTATGTGGGTTCCCTAAATTGTACTCAATCATTGAGGACCTGGAGAGATGGCTCAGCAGTTAAGAGCACTGACTGCTCTTCCAGAGGACCCGGGTTCAATTCCTAGCAACCACATGGAGGCTCACAACTGTCTCCAGTTCCAGGGGACCCGGCACCCATGGCAAAACACCAATGCACATAAAATAAAAATAAAAAGATAGGGGGCTGGAGAGATGGCTCAGTGGTTAAGAGCACTGCTTGTTCTTCCAAAGGTCCTTAGTTTAATTCCCAGCAACCATGTGATGGCTTACAACCATCTGTAATGAGATCTGGTGCACTCCTCTGGCCTACAGGCATCATGCAGACAGAACATTGTACACATAATAGATAAATAAATCTTAAAAAAAAAATAAAAAGATAAAAAAATGAACTCAATCATCACACTTTGTTGGCACTAAGCACCCCCACCTGTTGAGCCATCTTGCTAGCCCAGGCTTAAATATGATTCTCCTATTTTGTACTACATATTTGTTTGAAGTGACATTGTCATCATTGATATTAAAATCAAGATATAGTTTATACATTTCAAGTATTCAGCCAAGATTTCTTTTGTATGTGTATGGAGGTCAAAGGACACCCTCTAGTATCATTCCTCAGTCACCTTCTACCTTTTACTTAAAATTGGCATCTTACTAGCCTAGAACTTCACACAGTAGGCTAGGCTAGCTGACCAGTGAGCACGTTTTTCCCCTCCATCTCACCAATGTTGTGATTACATATGTAGGCTACAATACCTGTTTTTTACATGGCTTCTGAGGATTTGAACTCGGGTCCTTACATTTGCAAGGCAGATGATTTACTGACTATGCCATATTTCCTGTTCCAAGATTTAATTCTTTATGTAAAAATAAATAGCTTGTTAACAATGGTGGTGAGTTCCTTTACTCCCAGCACTCGGGAGGCAGAGGCAGGTGGATCTCTGTGAGTTCGAGGCCAGCCTGGTCTCCAGAGCGAGTACCAGGATAGGCTCCAAAGCTACACAGAGAAACCCTGTCTCCAAAAACAAAACAAAACAAAACAACAACAAAAAGAACTGGCACGTAGCCGGGCATTGGTGGCGCACACCTTTAATCCCAGCACTTGGGAGGCAGAGGCAGGCGGATCTCTGTGAGTTCGAGACCAGCCTGGTCTACAGAGAGAGTGCCAGGACAGTGAGGACTGTTACACAGAGAAGCCCTGTCTTGAAAAACCAAAACAATAAATAAACAAATAATAAAATTTGCTTTCAGATAGGCTCCAAAGCTACACAGAGAAACCTTGTCTCGAAAAACCAAAAAAAAAAAAATTGCTTTCATTTTTGATAAATGATAAGATTATATGTATACTGAAGTATTAAGTTTTAAATTAAATATCTTTGTTTTTATCAGTAAATTATTTCTGTTTAATTTAAATTCTTTATTGATTCTTTGAGAGTTTCACATCATGTGCCCTAGTTCTGCTCACCTCCAGGTCCCCCATATCCTCCACTCACCCCTGCAGCACCCTAACCAAAGAAAACAGAGCACAGTAAACAAGCAAGCAAACAAAATCAAGAACAAAACAAAACAACAACAAGAAAACCCTCTTTGCTTCTCCTTCTTTCCCGCCTCTCCAACACCTTTTTATTCGTCCTGGTGGCACTGGGGACCTCAGTGTGTCACATAGTGTACCCTTTTGTCTATCAGCTTTACTAACAAATGTCCATTCAGTGAGTTCAAGGTCTCTGGTTTCTGGTACACCATTATCACTGGATCCTCACTGGAACTCCTCTGGGATATCCTGTATACCTATTTTGTTCGGATTTTGAGAAGGGATTCATGTATCCCAGATGACACTGAATTTAATATACTCCTGCCTCTCTACCTTAGAAGGTAAAAGACCAGACAACCTTTGGCCAGACTGCCTGTCCTAGCTTTGTCCTAAGCTGTGTGGCCTTGCATGAGTCACTTTACTTGTTTGAGGATGTTCCCTACTTAAAGCATTTAGAAGGTAACATACTTTTAATTTCCTTAAAAATATTTTTTAGGTCAAGTGTTGGTGGTGCACACCTTTAATCCCAGCACTCGGGAGGCAGAGGCATGTGGATTGCTATGAGTTGAGGCCAGTCTGGTCTATAGAGTGAGTTTCCGGACAGCCAGAGCTGTTACACAGAGAAACCTTGTCTTGAAAAAGCAAAAAAAAAAATATTTTTAAAGACTTATATATTTTTACCATATGTGTATGAGTGTTTTGACTACACATATGTATGTACACTGTATGCCTGGTCCCCTTAGAAACCAGAAGAGGGTACCAGATGACATAGAACTGGACTTACAGTTGCTTGTGGGCCATCATTCGGGTGCTGGGAACCAAGCCTTGATCTTCTGCAAGAGCAGCAAGTTGCTTTTAACTGCTGAGCCGTCTCTCTATAACCATCCTCCCACTTTATGCTTATTAAATTGAAAGACATATTTGCTTTGGGGTACAGTTCACCCAGTTTAATAGGAGTGTGAAGAGGCACCAGGCAGTATGGCACCCCCCCACACACACACCTATAAGGTATAAAATTCACAGGCCATTTTTAAATTTTAATTTTATGTGTATGGATGTTCTGTTTGCATGTATGTCTGTGCACCACTTGCATGCCTGGTGGTGCCCTGGGAGGCCAGAAGAGGGTGTGTGATCCCTTGGAACTCAAGTTATCAGAGATTGTGAGAAACCACTTGAGCGCTGGGTCTCCAAAAGGGTCCTCCCGGAAGAGTGATGCACTGAACTAACTGTTGAGTTCTCTCTCCAGCCTCCAGAGGTTGTTTTTCTGTTGTTTTGAACCCTTGACTTGCCTGCCCCCAGCCTTCCAAACCCTGGGATGACAGATCTGAGCCTTTACAAAGAGCTTTATTTTAAGATAAGGTCTCAAACTGTATCCTAGGCAGGCCTCCGACTAGTGGCAATCCACCTACCTCATCCTTCCCAGTGCTGGTCTTACAGGCTTGAGCTACCATATCTTATTTCAGAAGCTGTTTTGTCTCAGTCCCTTCATTCTTTCCATTTCCTACAGGGTGGCAGACTGAGCTAAGGACTGGGTACCTCCCAGGGAGGCCCAGGGAACACATTTGAGCTTCCCATCTAATCCACTCTTCCCCACTTTTCTTTCCTAAAGACTGTTTCAAATGTCCTACACAAGCTCATATATTTAAACATTTGGTCCTTAGCTGGTGATACTATTCTGGGAGGTTGTGGGGCCTGACTGGTTGGGGTGACCTTTATGGGTTATAACACTTCTCTGCTTCTAGTCGCTACTTTTCTGTTCTGGCTGTCATGTGAAGAATCTTGCCATAGTTCCCACCCCCAAGATTGCTCCCGTGCTTTTTCTACCATGATGTATTAGAATCCACTTGAAAACATGAGCCCAAATAAATCCTCTCCATGTAAGTTAGTACTATCAAGTATTTTGTAATAGCCACAAGAAAAGTAACTGTTGTGCTTCATACATAGTTCTTCCTCAGTGTTTCAAAGGTGCTTAATCATCAGATTCTGTGCCCAGTTTATGTGATGTCACACTGTCAGGATCTCCTGAAGTCCAATGTAGCCACACAACTACAACCTCACCTGTCTCATCGCCATCACTGTACATATGTTCCTTGGGGGGGGGGAGTTGAAGACAGGGTTTCTCTGTGGCTTTGGAGGCTGTCCTGGCACTCGCTCTGTAGACCAGGTTGGTCTTGAGCTCACAGAGATCCTCCTGCCTCTGCCTCCCAAGTGGTGGGATTACAGGCATGCGCCACCACCGCCCGGCTTGTACACACATTTGTACATGCTGTAACCCTGCAGCTTGGTGACATCCTTGCCATCTCAACACCACCTCACCCACAATTAGCCACTCAGACACCATCTTACAATGACACTTGGACGCACCTGGATGCTCTCCACAAAACTTCATATGCACAGTTACATTTATGTATCATGATTTTCCGTTGTGAAATACCGTACCTGCCACCTCATCTAGGCTCATGTATTCATACATTTCAGTTAAATGCTGTCATCAAAGAACCACAGACACCACTCCATACCCCCGCCTGACACTGACATTTATTTAGCCAAACACAGACTCGTGGCTCCAGTTTCAGGTCTTTGGTGGTTTTATTTTACAAAATCTTTGAAGGCACAGGCAAGGAGATGTCTGGGGCCCATAGGTTTGGGCTGTGAAGAATTATGGCTCCAAGAGGAGGGAGAAATGACTATGGTGGCAGATGCCTGTAATCCCAGCACTCAGGAACTGAGGCAGGAGGATCTCACATTTGAGGCTATCCTGGATTAAATAGGGAATTCAAAGCCACCTAGGCTACAGAGCGAGACCCTGCCTCAAAAAAAAAAAAAAAAAAAAAAAAAAAAAAAAAAAAAAAAAAAAAAAACAAAATAAAACAAAAAAAAAGTCAGGCATGGCAATACATGCCTATAATCCCAGTACTTGGGAGAGCGAGGCAGGAGAATCAGGAATTTGGGTTCACCCTTAGCTACATAGTTGATGGTCAGCCTGGGTACAGAAGATCCTGTCTCAAAAAAAAAAAAAAAAAAAAAAAAAAAAAAAACAAAAAAAAAAAAAAAAAAAAAAAAAAAAAAAGGAGGGAGACACCTCTGCCAAAAGGCCAAGGCCGTTTTGTGAACCTTCAAGACTTCAAGAACTGAGGGGAGCCACCACAGTGGTGCTGGTGGTAGGAGGCACAGGACCTGTGGGGAAGGAAGCTGTAGGCGATCCCAGCAGAGGTCCAGAGAAAGGCATAAGATGGCTGACGGGTCCTGATAGCACCACAGGTCCCAGGCCCTGGTAGAGATGGGCAGTACCTGCGGTGCTCAGTGTCAAGCCTGAGGCCACCTCCCCACAATTCCCACTGCTACTGCCACCAGCTACAACCATGAAGCCACTAGCTGGTCCTTCAGCTGCTCCTGCTCCTCCCAGACTTGACCCCCGCTTCTTTTTCCCTTTCCCAGAGGCCTTGCGGTTCCTAGTCTGAATCCCATCCTTGCGCATGGTCAGTGGTCGGTTCACCTGGAGAAAGGAAGATCACAGGGTTGCCAGCTCCAGCCCTTTGTGTCTATGTATCTGGGCTAGGGACAGCCTCTCAACCCCAGTTGTTGAAGAATAGGGAATTAATTCAGTGATGAGGGTGATAGACCCAGGGCTGCCTGGCATAGAGAAACCTGCTGTTGTGAGTCCCTGAACTCCAAATATCCTCCTAGACCAGCAAGAGGCACCCAAGACTCAGAGCATGGGAGTGAAAGGTAGTGGAGGTGGCAAGAAGAGAAGGGGGGAGAGAGAGGAAGGGTGGAAAGGAGGCATGAGATGGAAAGAGTAGATGAGAGTGAGGAGAACCGAATAGAGCAAAATTACAAGAAGAGAGAGATGAGAGAAGGAAAGGCATCGGAAGGAAGAAGACTCTGGGTGGGAGAGAAAGCTCAAGGTAGATCAGGCCTGAGTGAAGAGTGGAGAGTATGAGGCAAGGACACCACCACAAAGGAAGGACAGCTAGTACCATGAAGGAGAGTGTCACCTGGTGTAGCTTGTAGTAGAGGCCACAGGCATTGCACACCGGATCTCCACTGGCATTTCTCCGCCAGAGTGTCGTGGTGGTCGTTTGGCAGTTAGTGCACTGAGTTCCTGCCCTTTTGCTGACAATCTGAGGGACAAAAGCATGTGACATCAGTGGTCTGGGGTGGAGATCAGGGACAGGAGCTTACAGGCCCGGAGAGATGGGCTGAAGGGGTAAAAGTCACATTGAAGGCAAGGGTTCCTATCTGGGATAAGGAGTTATTTAATTTATCATCATTATCTATTATTTTGTTTCTTTTTGAGTCAAAGTTTCTTTGTGTAGCCTTGGCTAGTCTGAAACTAGCTCTGTAGACCAGGCTGACCTTGAACTCACAGAGCTCTGCTTGCTTTTGCCTCCACCATTGTCCAGCAAGGACTTTATTTTATAGGCCTTCCATCTTTGGTTTTCAGCTTTGGCCACAGCTCTGAATCTCTTGGAGGAAGCCAGGCGTGGTAATTCACACCTACAATCTTGGCACTTTGGAGACACACAGGCAGACTAACAAATTAAAACCCAGTCTGGTATATGTAGTTCCACGCCAGCCTAGGGCTACATAGCAAGGCCCATTTTCAAGCAAAAACAAAACAAAATAGAATTTCTTGGGAAGCTACATATATTCTGGGAGCTGGGGGGGGTGTAACTCTACAGAGGAGGGTCTACCTAGCATGCATGAGGCCTTGGACTCCATCCCCAACACAAAAACCAAAATCCTGTTGCCCAGTTCAGTGAGTCATGATCTGGAAGAAGTGATCCAAGGAGATTACAATGTGAACTGTAAGTAAAAAGCCCACTGTTAAGGATAAGGTGAAGCTTTTCACTCAAATGTGAGAACAGGGTATCTGTTTGAAGCCTCAAAGGGTAGGTAAAGGTTGGTAGGTAAAAGTTCAGAGCAAGGTCCCTGCATACGAAAGGGATGGATGTACCCCATGGGGACAGGGTGAGGATGAGGGCAAGTATACTATGTATTGGAGACATGAGTTGGGCAGGGGTTCCTGTAGGATGGGAGAGTATGGACTCTTGTCGTGGGCTGGAATTCGTCTCCTGCACAGGTCAGGCTAGTTCCTGGTCTTACCAGTCGTTTCTTGGGCCGGATGAGAGGCCGGTTCTGGCCATTCATCTTGTGATACAGGCCACAGGCATTGCACAGGTAGTGACCTGTTCTGTCCCTTCGCCACAGTGGAGTAGCCGTTGCTCCACAGTTCACACACTCTCTGGCCTCTGATAGGTGAACAGAGAGAAAAGTTACACATTAACTTAGCTTAACTTGGCCTTGAGCTTCCTAGCCCAACTTAACCTCCCTGTCCCTTTTTGAGAGCCTCACCACAAGGGGCCAGAGGGAGGCTTCCGTGAAACTTGGGGGAAGAATAGGCTGCTGAGTTGAGAGGGCTCCCAGTGGGAGAAAAGAAAGGACCAGGAAAATCAGGTGCCCCATAACCACTGCTGTTGACAGGCAGCGATGCAGGCAGTGCAGTCCCCAGGGTCAGGAGGTCTGGACTCAGCCGCTCTGTCTTCAAGGTTTCCAAGAAGGTGGTGCTGCTCTTCCCATCCGGGTCTTCCAGGGTCTGGGGTGGGGCATCCTCGTGGCTGGAGCACACAGTTGAAGCAGGGTAGAGCCCCGTCTTGCTGTAGGCCCAGCTAGCATAAGATGAGCCCCCTGGGATTCCTTCCATACAGTTGAGAAGCGGGTACACCTGAAAGACTGTTGGAGGGGTACAGGCGGGTTGGGGGGAGCAATAAACCTAAGGCAATCCTGCTTTTAGAGTGCTATGGTGTCCATCAGTTCCAACATGGCAGCTAGGTTTCCAGTCTTCTCATAACGGTTTCTTGATGCTGGATGACTCCTGGGTTTTAAGTCCCTCTGGTCACTATAGAAATGACAATACCCTCCCATCCCTTTCTGTCTGGGATTCAGATGACTGCTGCTGGGATTGGGAGGCTGCAGGTCATCTGACACCTAAGTGAACTAGTACACATTTCCAGTGTGTCACTCCAGTATAGCAGACGGGAGTACTGGTGTCTCTGGGGGAAGGGGTCAATACATCTCTACACAGAGCTTCTAACTATTTCCAAGATGACCTCCTAGTGGAATAGTGAACTAGCTAATCTCTATGGCAACCCTAATAGCCCCTAGCCAGTGCCAAGGCAGCTACCCAGTAGTTACCTGGAGAGTGTCTGTAGGACTCAGTGTCCCTGTAGTAGGCCAGTGCAGTGGCTGCACCTGTGCCTGTGCTTGGGGAAGTGGAGGAAGCTGCTACATCCAAACCCTCAGGCCCAGAGAAGAATGGCCCCGGATCTGGTGGCGAGGACACGAGGGAAGAATCCACAAACTGCGGTAGGGGTTCTGAGGACCCCAGGGCCCCTAGGCCAGGGAAATCCATGGGGATAATGGGGTTTAACCTGTGAGGACAGGAAGGGTTGTCAGACATGGAAATCCTTCTCTTTCTTCCCTTTTTCATCTCCAAGTCATCACCTGGGACTCTTTAATTTCTCCTTTCCGTCTCTCAAATTTGTTCCTTCCTCTTCTCTCTCCTCCTTCCTCACGCTGTCGTCTCTCCTGTCTCTCCTTCCACCCTCACTTCCTATTTGTTGTCCTTTCAGCTCTTCCCCATTCTCTTATTGCCTCACTTCTCTTCCTTCCCTCCACCCTCAACTACTCAGCTTCCTGCTCCTTATTCCCTCTCCTTCCCCTTGTCCTATCCCTCCTCCCATCTCTCTCAAGTCCGAGTCTTCTTTCTTCCCTCTTTGTTCTCCCCCTTTCCTGTTTCCACTCTCTTCTCTCCCCTCCTCTTGCCATTCTCTCCCCTCCGTTTCTTTCTTCCTGTCCCCTCCCTTTCATGTGCCATGTTTCTCTCCCTCTTTCCATGTCTCCACTTTCCTTCCTCATCTTTTATTCTCCTCTCTACCTTCCAACCTTCCTTCCGTCTCCTCCTCCCATGGGCCTTCTCTTCTCTCTTTTCTCCCATTCTCCTCTCCTTCCTCTTTCTCTTCTCTCTTCCCCTTCCCTTCTCTTCTCCTGTGGAGGTAGAGTGCACAACCGAGGTCCCTTGGACCGCTTGACAGCTCCCTCAGGACCTTGGGGTTCACCCTTCTGTGCTCCCCAACTTCATCCCTATCTGTTGTATCTTGACATCTGACTTTCTCAGAAACCCCGTGGTTTCCGGCTTCCCCCCTCCCCCACCTCAGTTGTGTCTGTAGACAGAGGGCCTCATTAGTTCCTCCCTGTTCTATGGGGGGTCAGTACCTCTGCTTCCACTCTGCTTATCTTGGCCATCCCCGCCCAACTTTTGAAATCACCCCAAAGCTACTGGCTTCCTCTGAGGAGTGACAGGTGGGAGGTGTTCCCATCCTGGTATCCTCCCTCCAGGGACAGGGTCTGTTTTCAGGAACCTTCAAGTCACACCACTCTCACACCTCAGTTTCCCCATCTGTTATATTGGGGGTGGTACACTAGGAGCTAAGCAATGATCCTTTCCCTTTTTTCTTACATTGCATGTCTGTCTCTTTAGCTCTCTGTCTCCCTGGGTCTCTCCAGTTCCTTTCGGGGCTAACTGTGTTTTCCCTACATCTTTCTACGCTTCTAGGATGTATCTTTGGCAAAAAAGATTTTACATTTGTGTGTTTATGGTTTGTGTGTGTGTGTGTGTGTGTGTGTGTGTGTGTGTGTGCGCGCGCGCGCGCGCGGGGTGGCGGGAGGACAGATGACAACCATGGGTGTTGGTCCTCACCTTCCACTTCTTAAAAACAGGGTCTCTCATAGTTTTCTACTGTGTATATATATCAGAATAGGCCTATAAGTTTCCAGTGATTCTCCTGCACCTCCCATTTCCATAAGTATGCTGGGACTACTGATTCGCATGCTACTGTGTCAGTATAGATTCTGGGGATTTGAACTCAGGTCCTCATACTTCTTCAGCAAGTAATTTATCCACTGAGCCATCTCCCCAGCCTTCTAGGGTATATCGTGTTCTCTCTATCTGTGCTTTTGTGAAGTTGTGTGCCCCCTCCCTGCCTGCGACTGTTCAGCATGTGCATCTTTCTTTATGTCTTTCTCGTCTTGCCTCCTGTGGTTCTGTTACTCTTGCTTTCTCCTATACTCTACTGTTAAATGTCTCTCAATCTTTCCAACTCTTTTTGCCTCCCAGGCCCCTTCCTCCTCGTTCTTTCACTGAGCCTTAAACTCTGTCTCTATTCCTATATCTGCCAATGTGCCTTAGTACACACAGCTCGGGAAAGGAGTCAAAGAGCCTGCCTCTACCCCTGACTGCTTGATGTCCTATCTGGAGGGAGAAGTGGGAGACAGAGCATAAGACCACCTTCCCTCCCTACCCATTGGAAGGGCTGGGCCCAGGATTGGGGATCATGCTGGGGATAAGACAGCGTGTGACTTTGTCCACAATCACCTTCTTGACCTCAGAATTCCCACCTTTTTGTACAGTGTCTGCTCCCCCTCGTGACCGGCACTTAACCTTCCCTCCTGTTCCTCTTCTAATTTTTTTTTGTTTCAGTGTCTCCATGACTCATTCTCCCTCTTTCCATTTTTTTCCTTCTCTCCTTTCTGGTTCTGCTTCTCTTGTTTTCTGTCCGTGGCTGTCCGCCTTCCCCTCCTCTGATGGCTCTCTTACTCTTTCTGTCTTACTTTTTCTTTGAGTCTCTGTTTCTCTTTCATCTTCATGTGTTTTATGCCTCTTGCTTTTTCTGTGTCTCTGTCTCTTGTCCCTCAGTTCTCCTTTTGTACCTCTTCTCTCTCTCACTCCATCTCCTGTTCTCTTCCTCCGTCACTGTTCTTCATCTCCTCACTCACCATTAGATTCTCCCTCCAGCCTCACTGGGCACCCCTGTACCCCTCACCTTGGTGGGTTCAGAGCTGCCCACCCCTCCTGTAGCAAGGGCCCACCCTCCACCCCAGTTATCACTCTCCCAACAGAGATAAAGTTTATCTCAAGGCTGGGGGATATGAGAGCTCCTTATCAGCTGCCTCACTAGAGAAAGTGCTACCCTAACCAGGAGGCACAGCAGCTGCACCTCCAGCTCTCCCTGGGCCCAGCCCCTCACCCCAGGTAACGGCCTATGCCCAGGCCTCAGCGTTCTATGGGTCCAAGGGAGCTGAGGCAGGATCGGGGAGCAGATGTAGTACTTAAGGGGTTAGAGGGAGAGTTTGAGAGTCTAATGGGGGGGATTGGAGTTAGAAGTTTGGGTATGGCTATGGAGTTTAGGAAGTAGAGCTAAGCTTAAGAGTTCACAGACACATTTTGAGTTCAAAAAATGGGTTAGGGAATCAGAGGTGAAGTTTGCAAAGTTAGAGATGTAGTTTAAAGGTTAGAGATAGGTTCTGGGGGATCATGGTAAAATATGAGAGAGACAAGGTTTTTTTTTTCCTGGACAGCAATTGGGTTTAGGAGAGAGATGGACCTGGGCAGACAGGATCGTGGCTGATGTCAAGAGATGAATTCTGAGAACCCGGGAAGAGTGGGAGAAGCCAAGACAGGGTTGGGGTAGAGAAGGTGTGGAAAGAGTGGGATTCAGGGGCAGTTAGGCCTTAGGGCTTAAGGAAGACGACACAAGGGTCATTGTGACAATAGATTTGTGGGAAGCAAACTTAGTGTCTAAAATAACACACATTTTGGCCAACGGGTAGGGGAAGTTTGGGGAGGTCAGAGAGAAGACCAGGGAGCAAGCCAGGGACTGAAAGGCAAAGATGGGTTAAAGCTAGGGTTCGGCAGATCAGACAGGTGTGGTTAGCCAAAAGTATTCACTGAGAGCAGAAATGAGTCTTGGGGAAGCCAAAGGTAGTTTTTTTTTTTTTTTTTCTTTTTCAGGAGAACGGAAAGGCAGAGACAAGTTTCAATTAGTGGAAATCATATTCGGGACAGAGATAAGAGCTCAGGGAATGAAGGCATAGTTTTTGGAGGTGGCGGTATACATAGAAGGTTGGCCTGGAAGTATGAGGAGAGAGTTCAGGGACAGAGGACATAGATCTCTTCGAAGGAATGGAAAGAAGTTGGGGCAGAGAGAGGAAGGTTTCGGGGGAGAGAGGGAGGTTGGAAACAGAAGTCTGGGGAGCTGTGGAGGAATTCGGGATGAGCTACACTTCAGGGGCAGCTATGGGTCAGAAAGGCTGGAGCAGGCTTGGGCAGCAGGCTGGGGATTGCCTTGCTGGAGGCTCTTTAGGAATTGAGACTGACCTGGGCTGGTTGATGCAGAGGGTTCAGCCACCTTAGTGATGTGGTGAGCTCAGTGTGATCCCAAGGGGTGTCCTCACTGGCCTTGGCCTTTGAGGCTCCCTTCCTCCCTCCCTCCTGCCAGCCCGCCCTCCCTCCCTCCCACCCACCTTCTCCCTCCTCTTTCCTCCCCAGGGAGTGGCTGGGGGGCCCGGGGGGGGGGGCGG